GAGAGAGCAGACCTTGTTTCCAGAGTCAAGCTGGGCGGCTCCTAGGGCATGGAGGGGTCTGGGAAGAGATTCTCAGAAAGCAACTGTCTACTTAAACAAGTTATTTTTATTTTTCATGATTTTATGGAGTCACGGGTGTCACTGTGTTGCCCTGGCTGGTCTTGAGCTTCTGGCCTCAGGTGATCCTCTTGCTCTGGCCTCCCAAAGTGCTGGGATTGCAGGTGTGAGCATTTAAACAACTTGATTTAAAAATGTATTTTAAAATATGTCTAAAAAAATTCATGGGCCTATGTGAAGTATGATGACATGCCCATGAGGATTTAGGGTGATGGGCTGAGAAGAGGCATTTGTCTGTCGCCCCGTTGGCGCATGTGAAGACTCTTCATCGTATCCAGACTCTGTCTGTCTCTATTGAGGGTCAGGAACTATCTCTTCTTGTTCTTTGTCACATGTGCTACTTTTGTATCTCCCACTGTGAGAAAAAAGATAGCAATGCTATTATTACTCACAATGCCATGCTTCTTTGGAACCTGTTTCTAGCGAAACAATAGAGGTCTTGTTTCTGCAGCTCCCTCAGACCGTTTATTTAATGCTGGCTGCTTTATTTCTCCCGGTGCTACACCAGCCTCGGTGCCATGTCTGAATACTGACTTCCAGTGACTCCCTTACGGGAGGCACTGTGCCTTGTTGAGGATGACCACAACTACAAGTCTTACCAAGAATACATGAGTAATTCATCTTATGATAATTTTTTATTAAATTTTACACTAGCAAACTGATGCCATGGCACTCTATCCTGGGCAACATGGTCAGATTCTGTCTCTAAATAAAAAAAGAATTTTTTTTTTAATAGCACAAGGAAACAAAAGAATCTTTAAAAAAATAAATTTACCACTAGCAATTTTATAGTATAAATGTAAAGAACACATCAAGTAGGTCTTGAACTCCTCAGCCATAAGCAGTGGATGTGACCTCTTTGGACGGTGACTGTGCTCCTGCCTCTACACACTTCCATCAGTAGAGTGGGCCCTGGGCGAAGCTAGAGAGAAGCCCCATCCATCCCATATGGATGAGGGATGGAGAATGCCCACCCCTCATCTCGCACAACCTAATGCCAATCTGGAGACCACAGCAGCACCAGATCTGTGAGAGGCCGGGGAATTGACTGGAGTCATCTGTTGACACTGAAGCCGCAGAAGATGAGGCACAGCCCCTCTAGAGGCTGCCCCAACACGTGCAGCAGAGCCCGTGGGTGCAGAACATGTTGCCAGCCCCGTGAGTGCTGCTGACCACAGGGTGCTGCAGTCAGAACCCCCACAGGGGCCAACCCAGGGGCCCACAGACTCGGCTCAAGGCAAGGACCAGGAGTGGACCTTTGGTGGCCAGAGTCCTGAACTTGGCCTGTGACATATTTTGAGTCACCCAAACTCAGAGTGTCAGTACCATACTGGGCAGCCCAAACTCACCAGACCTGGGACAGAAACATTGCCTGCCAGCAGGAGCCATCTGTCAGCAGAGCCCACTTCTGGAACTGGGGCCAACAGGAATCCTAGGTCTTCTTAGGGCACCTGGTCACTCTAGGAGGATGGTGGAGATAAGAGACATGGGAAGGGAATGTAGAAGGTCACTGAGCACCTAGCAGGGGGAAAACCCCAGGACTGGGTCCCATGCTGACCAGCCCAAGTTTGGGTTGCCCCTCCCAGATGGCACAGCTGACCCTGGTCAATCCCAGCCACTGAAAGGGGACATAGAAAATGATGAACGTTCCATTGGCAACCAGATTTGGGGCATCCTGCCTAGATGGCCACAGGAATTGGCTCAGGGCCCAGGGCAGGGCCACTGGGTTGGGTCTACAGGCCAGACTGATGTCATGTTCCCTGTTCTTGAGAGAGGTCTGGGCTGCAGATGTAACCTGGGAGTCACCAAGCTGCTGAGAAGGAAAAAATTCTGAGACTTCTAGTTCCCAAACCCTACTACTTATTCTCAAAGTGGAAGAAGCCAGCTCTCTCCCTTCCTAGATGGATGAAGGACTTGAAACCAAGAATTACCTACTTGACAGTTTTTAGAACTTCTACAGCTTAAGCAAACCCACAAAGAACTCAGCCCTGAAAATAGAAACAGTTCATAATATAAAAATCCACAGACTCAAATCTCCTTAGCAAACAGTACCTATGGGGAGGAGTGACATTTTCATTTTTTCAGTACCAGGCTGAGTCTAGGCTAATAGCGTTATCCCTGCCCTCTGAACAGGGCTATTTGTTTTAGTCTGCTGTCTGTTTAGCTGGGGAATAATTAATGAACAATTAAATCTGCTGGCAACACACTGTCAAGTGGCACTCGGTAAATATTTATTGGCAATGATGAGGCCATTATTTATACCATCAAATTGGAAACAAAATTGTGCAGTTTTTCAGCAAGGCATTAGAGATTTGACATCCTACAGATGAGTAGACCAGAAAAGTGAGGGGATTTACCCTGTTTACAGGGAGGTGGGGCAAAACTAGGACTTGCATCCCAAACTCTTTATTCTAAATGGATTCCTTGCTTTTTTTTTCTTTAAACTATGTTGCACCAATGTTTTGAGAAATGGCTGAATTCCATTAAGCTACTTCAGGTGTTTGATACTTTAACCTTTCCAAAGAACAGTAAAATCTCATTAAGGCAAAATGATTGGAAGAGTGGCCAGGCTGAATTGAGGAGAACTTTGAACTACTTAAAAAGATATCCAGGGTCTTCCTTTCAAGGTCATATAATAAATTGGTACAAATAACCACAGAATGGGGCTAAGTAGAGGTCTGACTGATCCTGCTTAAAGGAACAAACAGGAATAATTATAAACTTGCTTTTAGGAGATGGCTACTGTAGATATTTTAAGCATTTGGGAAAATACCTTTTCATTAAAAGTAAGCTAAATGTTTTCTTTAAACTCATTTTATGTAAAAATTTACATAGGAAGCTCACACAGATTTAAATGTACATGTTCAACCACAAGTTAAAATGATCATGCCCTTGATGTGATGGCATATGAATGAACTTGGTTTTATGCCAGCAGAGGCTATTTAGGAAACAGCTTGTTTGGCAGTATGTCTGTAACTCACAGCAGCACTGATGATGACATCTGTCCCTCTCACTTTCCATCCTCTATCTATCCAGCACCGACAGAATGCCTCCAGCTGCTTAAAAACTGGAAGCATTTTCTGGCCCTTCTGTTCCTTCACTCTCCCACCAATTCTGCCAAATGACCCTGCACCTCTTGTCACTGTTGGTGAGAAGCCTTTGCTTTGGCTTCCTTCAGTTGTTTCCACCCAGATATTAAACAGTGATTCCTGAAGATGTTTAGAAATGCTGGGCCATGGCAGGACACAGTGGCTCACGCCTGTCATCCTAGTGCTTTGGGAAGCCGAGGCAGGAGGCAGGTAGATTGCTTCAGTTCAGAAGTTCAAGACCAGCCTGAGCATAAGCTAGACTCCCGTCTGTACTAAAAATAGAACAATTAGCAGAGAGTGTGGGTGGGCAGCTATTGGAGAGGCTGAGGCAAAAGCCTCCTAGGTTTTTGCTTAAACCTAGGAGTTTGAGGTTGCTATAAGCTATGATGGCCATGGTACTCTATCAGGGGAACAGAATGAGACTCTGTCCCACCCCCCACAAAATTGGAAAAAAAAAAGAAAGAAAGAAAAAGAAATATTTGGGGCCTGGCGTGGTGGCTCATGCTTGTAATCCTAGCACTCTGGGAGGCCAGGACAGGTGGATTGCCTGAGCTCACGAGTTCAAGCCCTTCCTGAGACAGAGCCAGACCTTGTCTCTAAAAATAGCTGGATGTTGTGGCAGATGCCTGTAGTCCCAGGTACTTGGGAGGCTAAGGAAAGAGAGTTGCTTGAGCCCAAGAGTTTGAGGTTGCTGTGAGCTATGATGCTATAGCATTCTATTGAGGGGGACAAAGTGAGACTCTATGTCTCAAAAAAAAGAAAGAAAGAAAAGAAAAGAAAGAAAAAATATTGGGAGAAGTAGACCATGGGGCCTACTACCCCTGAAGTGGTTCACAGCGCCTGTTTTTCATTTTTCAATTCTACTTCTTCCGTTTTTGTCTAAGAGTCAGGGCTGTTGACTTGGGTAACACGTGGGAGGTTCCTGCTGGCTGAGCAGGTAGTGTGGACAAATAGGGGAGGCTCATCAGCTCCAGGTGGGGGAAGGGTGTCTGGGGAAGATTGGGTTCTGGTTGGAGACACATAAAGCTTTCCTTGCTGGGCGGATTGTCCTACATGGGATTCAAAGATCTGTATGTCTTAGGGAAAAAATCTGACCAAAAGCAAAAATGAGGGCTGCAGATATTTCTGCCATTTAATGCTACAGCCCATCCTGATGACAAGTTCAAAGCAAAGGCAGGCTAGCATGCGTTTCCTGCTGACCTGCTGCCCCCTTCTGGGGAAGTTTGGAACTGAAGCCTGCGGTCGGCCGTCCTCCAGTTCTTGTCTTCATGATGGGTCTGCATTGCCTTGGCGGTCTTACCCAGAGAGGTGCTTTGTTACAGTGCCGGGAAGTGTCAGGGCATACACTGCAAACAGTTTATTCAGTGAGTTTATGTTGACGCCGTGTAACACTAAGGATCTTTATTTTATTTCCTGGCTGGAGGATCATTCCATAGTTTTGTGAGCCATCTGTTCCAGTTCCCCCTGCTTCTACCAAGAGGCTAGGCTAAAGCCATCTTTCTTGGCAGCCTCAGGCTAGCAAGAAGTGCTTCCTGACTTGGCATCCTGCCTTAGTAATTTTATCCTTAAAAGGAAGAGTCTGGACTTTTGATCATTAAGAGCCCTCTGGCTCCAATTCCTTAAAAAATCTTTACCAGTGAGAAATGTCAATTTAACATAAATAAACTCTTAGGTATTAAATGAGTTTTGGCTTTTAATGAACAAGATTTCTGGAAATAAAATGAATGTGCTTAGAGGAGGGGCTAAATTAAAAAAATTCTTTCAAAATATGAAATAGACCACTAGAAGGCAGTGTTGACATATATAAGAGTTTAATTAAGAATTTCTTCAATTACAGCTCCTTTTAAGGGAAATACTTTTTATTTTCTTATTTTTTAATTTTTAATTAATATTTGGGAAGACAGAGTCTCACTCTGTCACCCTGACTAGAGTACAGTGGCATTATCATAGCTCAGTGCAACCTCAACCTCCTGGGCTCAAGTGATCCTCCTGCCTCAGCCTCCAGAGTAGCTGGGAATATAGGTGTGCATCACCCTGCCTAGCCTTAAGGGAAATGTTTTTTAAATCAATGGATATATGCATCATTAAAGGTTACGATATTTTGGTGGCAATAAAGTTCTGGAAAGATATTAAAGGGGCATGCAGTTTGTACAATAATAGAATGGTAAGTCCAATAGTTTCGCATCATTTATGAGATGGTAGATGGCAACTTTGCAAAAAAAAAAAAAAAAGTGGAGTTAGTACATTCTTATTTCAATTCAGCCACGTTCTTCTGACAGTTGTGCTGGAAATGTCCTTTTCCTTTACATATTGCCACCTGCTCCTTTAAAATTCTAGAATACTTATGAAGTAGATTATTATTTGGTAGATAGAGGTATAAGATTTCATACAAGACTTAGAAAATTATAGAATGAAAATAGAAATCAAATTCAACCAAAAGGGTCTTTCACTGTTCATTTTTAATAGCTGAAAAAATTATAATTTCAAAATAGCTCAACAAATCCAAGAAGATTTAGAAAGCACCTTACACTTCTTTCTAATACATTGAGGGTGGCCGTACTTATTCTAATAGTCTTGCATCTTTAGGCTTGAGCTCTTATAGGAAAGCAGATATTAAAATAGTAGGTGAAAATATCATAGTTCCCAGTCTAGGAAAACTGGCTAGACTTTCGAGAACATAATTTTTTCTTATTATACTTTTTTTTTCAAGCTACCAAAGTAACACCAGTTCATTCTCTTAGCCTTATGGTCTGGAGGCAGCAGGTGGGTCCAGTTTGACCAGGACAGAGAGGACTGGAACAGCAATCTCTTCTTCCTCCTTCTCATTGGTCTCTATTTCTTAAAGATAGAAATGGGTCAGGAAATAGAACTCTGAGAGCAGGACTCTGGGCTCTGGGTACTTATTGATCAGGTCTCATATGACTAATCTTCTTATAAGAATAAACTTAAACAGGATGGTCCTCAAATCTTAAGTGTCCTACAGCAATATTTTCCAAACTGTGGGTCAAAACCTATTAACAGGTCATAGAAATCAATTTGAAGGGTCTTAACCAGCATGTTTTAGTAACGAACACAATGGAAAAGAATAGAACAGAAAACACAAGAATGGATGACTCTTAATTTCAATGGTTATGTGCTATGTTTTCCTGTGTCATTATATAAATTGTGTTTCTTACAAAGGGTCATGTTCAGAAGAGCTGGGAGGTTACTTTCCATAGCACTTTATCTGTCCCTGGCTGGTTGTTCTATTCCGATAGAATTCTCGTTCAATCCTCCTTGGTAGCCTACCAACTTCTTGACGTGGGATTAATGTCGGAATTACTTTGCCTTTGCTGCAGTGATTTCCATAATACATTTTACTTGGTCAATGCTTAGTAAAACTGTTTAAGATTTACTTTGTGCCTATTTTGCTTCTAAGTAAATTTCTAAAACATGCTTTTAAAATTGCCAAGTGCTATTTGTAAGTCTATTTCCTTCAGCTAATACCAATTGAATGTATAGGCTGACATTAATACAAGAGCTGCTTTTTAACTATTTTTCCCAAACATCAAGGGATCCACCAAAAATAGGTTCTACTGAGGCTACTCTGCAGATCTGATTTTCTGTTTCTCAAAAAGCTCTTTCAGCTGCTGCTCAGTTGTGGCTTCTTTCTGCTGCATCAGCTCGGCTGTTCCTTTGGTCACTCCCCAGGCATCCGGCTTTGACATTGAAGGGTTGTACGGCCTGCCTGAGGCTATGCGAAGATTCTCCCAGTATTCCTTCCTGGCCCTGTATGAACAAAGCACACAGCGTCTGTCAGACCCTTCCTCATGTCTGTCTTTGTGTCATGGAGCCATCTTTGGGCTCTAGGAGGATGTCCATTAAACCACACTTACTAATCTGGACTCAGACTTTCCCCCCTGCCTGTGTAGATCTCAATCACTGTGAATTTCTTCTTCTAATCTATGTACAGGGATAATTCAGAATAGGAATATTTTCTATCCCATACGCTACCCATTTTCACGTCCACCTTTGCTGTTCTTCCCCGAACCCTAGATTGCTTCTGTACTTCTGATGCTCAGACTCTGCTTCTGTCCTCCTCCTTTCCAGTTCTATCATCTCCTTCTGGCTGGACCTCAGCATGTTTGGCATCCCTCCTGGCAAGGCTTCTTCAGGAGGCTCTTACAACCCGTTAACTTGCAAACCCAACCCTGGCCTGGCTGCTTGAGACCCACCATGCTCCTCGTGGCCTTTGGGATGAGGTCATACGTAGCTCATGAGCACAAATAAAGGCTGGAGCCTTCTTCTCCTCTAGGAATGTATCTGCCATCGATTCTCAAACTTCTGGTCCCCCTCACTCTCTTTCCACTGCTCAGTGCTTTCCTGCAGGCTGTTCCTTTCTCTGGCGTTGTAATTCCTCTTTCACGAGTCAGGCATCAGCTTTCCTAGCAATCCTTCCTGAGCCCTGCATTTTGCCCTTGTGGGCCATCAGCTCAGATCCCTGTACACCTGCACGTAACTTCATCCTTGAACTTACTATGCTTATTGGGCCTTACCTGTTTATCTCTCTGCCTACTAGATGGCTAGTTCCTTGGGGACAGGGCCGTGCCTTGTTCAGCTTGCTACCTCAGCATCCGCAGTGGCATCTGACAGATAGCTGCACTCAATTAATGTCTGTTCATCAGAGCAGAGCTGCTCCCTCTGCTTGAAGCGCTCATCCTCCATCCCCCTCCTTCTCTGGGCCTACTTAGCCTTCAACACCTAGCCTCAAAAATCCCTTCTAAAATATCTATTAGACAGAGATGGTTATTCTTTCCTCTTGCTACTTTTCTATCTATGCCTCTACTAACGTGGCTGCCACAGTACACGCTGGCTTTCTCATCTCTTTCCCGTGGTATACTGTCAGGATTTCTAAGCCGGGGACCATTTCTATATTCTTAGTGCCCTCCCCAGTACCTGACATAAAATTCGTTTACTTGTTCATTATTAACACACACACCTCCAATGTGAATATAAGTTCCCAGGGCAAAGACCTTGCCTATCTTATTTATCATTGTATTTCCAGCTCTGAAAATGTTTGATGCAGAACAATTGGTATTTGTTTTTTTTTTTTTTTTTTTTTGAGACAGAGCCTCAAGCTGTCCCCCTGGGTAGAGTGCCGTGGCATTACAGCTCACAGCAACCTCCAACTCCTGGGCTCAAGCGAGTCTCTTGCCTCTGCCTCCCAAGTAGCTGGGACCACAGGTGCCCGCCACAACGCCCGGCTATTTTTTGGTTGCAGCCATCATTGTTGTTTGGCGGGTCCGGGCTGGGGATTCGAACCCGCCACCTTAGGTGTACATGGCTGGCACCTTAGCCGGCTGAGCTATAGGCACCGAGCCTCAATTGGTATTTGTTATACTTAATGCTTAAAAACCAATGCAAGTCAATGTTAGTATCCACCACACACATGGTCCTTTACTAGAGCACCAAACCATTTTCACTGCCACATACATTATTTACATTTTCTATTCTTTTTTTTTTCGAGGTTCCTCTACAGCAGTGATTTTCAACCAGTATGCAGTGAAAATTTTTTAAGATCATTAATTAAATTATTTTTGAAAAAAATTCAAAGCACAGTAAGTATATTCTTTTTTCCCCACTTTTTTAGTGATCAACACAATTTAAGTGTACCACGCAAGTTTAACTAACTATAGATTCAAGTGTACCGTGAGCTAAAAAAAGGTTGAAAACTAGTGCTTTACAGTTTATTGTTACAGCAGAAGTCGTGGGAGACAGGAGGACACACTCCACACATGATGCAGTGTGGTCAAAGCCTCAGGATAGGGTGGCACCTGTGGCTCAAGGAGTAGGGTGCCGGCCCCATATGCCAGAGGTGGTGGGTTCAAACCCAGCCCTGGCCAAAAAAAAAAAAAAACAAGCCTCAAGATAGTCCTTTCACTCCTACGCCAAGCCTCAAGCAGCTTAGCCCAAGCTTAGTTCCCTCCCTGTTCAACTCGAGATGCACACCTACAGCTTATAAAAGTTAGTGCCTGTATTCTAAAAGCTTTTGCCAGAAATCACCTCGCTAATATTTTTTTTTTTTAGAGACAAAGTCTCATTTTGTTGCCCCAGGCCGTGGCGTCATCATTCTCTGCAACTTGAATCTCGTGGGCTCAAGCCTCTTAAGTACTGGGACCACAGGTGCCTGCCCTACCATGCCCAACTAGATTTTCTATTTTTAATAGAGATGGGGCCTCACTCTTGCTCAGGCTGGTCTCAAAATCCTGAGCACAAGCAATCCTCCTACTTCAACCTCCCAAAGTGCTAGGATTACAGGCATGAGCCACTGTGAATGGCCTCATAAGGATGTTTTATAAATATCTCTATGAGAGAATTTAAGGAAGATGACTGATTCTTCATGATCACACAGCAAATTAGTTACGCTCTGTTTAATGGCCTCGTTTGGACATATTCATAATCTAAGTGAGTTTGGGTTAGTAAATGTAGTTGAAAGCTACTTACCTTGCTCTAATCCAGGGTTTGGTGTGCATGTCCAAACCACTTCCCCAGCTGCCGTGTTTTTCTGAAGCTGGCGGCAAAAATCCCCTTTCTGGGGCCAGCTCCTCTGCAATTGCCCTGATGTGGTAGGGCTCAAATCCACAGCACCCGCCAATGTACCTGACCCCCAGGTTGTAGGCCTCTCTGGCATACTTCTGAATATCCCATCTGGTGGCAACCCTGGGTTCCAGTCCTATAATAAATGACATTATGCATTATGAATTCTTTTTATAAAAAAATTCAAGATAAATAGCTATAAGTACATACTTTTTAGTGAATGAATTATATAAGTTGTCAGCATTCACTTCTTAAACTTTTAAAATTAGTATCCAGTTTTACATGCTGTGGTATCTGGACTTTGAGTTGGTTTCCAGTGATCCCCGCCTTTGCGGCTCTCACCCTGTGCAGTCCCCTTTGCATTATAATAGAGCTGGCCTCTGAGATCAATAGGATATGGCAGAAGGAATGACATGTGATTCCAGAGGACGATTATTTAAAAAATCCCTCTAATCTGCCTCGCTCTCTCTTGGAACACTCACCCTGGTGGAAGCCAGCTGCCATTTTGTTAAGGATACTCAAGCATCACAATGGAAAGGCCAGTGCGCTGAGGTGCTGAGGCGGCCAGGCAACAGACAGCGAGAAACAGACGCCGAATGCCAGCAGCCAACTGAGAGACCGTGGAAGCAGATCCCCCGGCTCCCATCAGGCCTCCAGACATCTACAGCCCCTGCCAATACCTGGACTGCAGCCTCTGAGAGACCCTGAACCAAACTACTCAGCTAAGCTGTTCTCGACTGCTGGACCCACAGCAGTTGTGAGATAATAAACCTTCAGGTTTCTCTAAGCCACTGAGTTTGCAGTAATAGGTTATACAGCCATAAATAACATGAAGGCCTTGCTACTCTCCTGCATGCTTCCTCCAGAGTGACTGACTGTATTGCGCAATATCATACTTGTCTGAGGGTGTCCATAGAATATATGACATGGTACAGGGACCCTAGAGTGGAATCGGAGACCACTCTGGCTCCAGATTCCAAGTGGACTCACCTCCTCCTCCCAAAGGCGCTGAGCGGCTTTACCCCCCTGCTAGCCTGCAGGCATCCTCTTGCTTCCTCTCCGAGTTCAAACTTGCTACACAGCCACTCGGTGATGGTATTTTGCCCCCACTCCCCAAACTCTGGAGTGTCTGAGCAATATTCAAAATTAGAGAAAAGGACCTTGGAGATGACTGGTCTACCCTCCTTATTTTTCTAATGAGAAAGTTGAGATCTAGAGGAGTTCAGGGATTTTCCTAACTCAACAACAGAGCTGGCACCAGAGCCAAATCTCTTTGGAGAGCATCCTTTCCACCAACCTAAAAGTCGGACCAGTGGGTTGCCTATGTAGATGCTGATTCACCTCTGATTTCACATTTAAGTTCATACATATTTGTTTGCTGGCTGCTCCCATCTTTTCCTTCCATTACTGTGGAGTTACAAGGGGTTTTGGCTGCACATATGGAAACTAAGGCCAAGAGATAAGATATGCAGCCATTTCTTTTTTTCTTTTTCTTTCTTTTTTTTGAGACAGAATCTCACTCTGTTGTCCTGGGTAGAGTGCCATGGCATCATCATAGCTCACAGTAACCTCAAACTCTTGGGCTCAAGCAATCCACTTTCCTAAGTGTCCCAAGTAGCTAGGACTACAGGCACCCACCATGACACCCAGCTAATTTTTTCTACTTTTAGTAGGGGCAGGGTCTTCCTCTTGCTCAGGCTGGTCTCAAACTCCTGAACTCACACAGTCCATCCACCTCAGCCTCCCAGAGTGTTAGGATTACAGGCGCGAGCCACCATGCCTCTCCTTTTTTCTTTTTCTTTTTAAAAATAGTTTGGGTTTTTACCTTTCTTTTTTTTTTTCTTTCTTTCGACAAAGTCTCTGTCACCCTGGGTAGAGTCATAGCATCATAGCCCATAGCAATCTCAAACTCTCTCTTTTTTTTGGAGACAGAGTCTTATTTTGTCACCCTCAGTAGAGTGCTGTGGTGTCACTGCTCACAGTAGTCTCAAACTCTTTGGCTTAAGCTATTCTCTTGCCTCAGCCTCCCAAGTAGCTGGGACTACAGTAACTTGCCACAATGCCTGGCTATTTTTAGAGACGGGGGTCTTGCTCTGGCTAGGGCTGGTCTTGAACTCAAGCTCAGGCAATCCACCCACTTTGGCCTCCCAGAGTGCTGGAATTACAGGTGTGAGTCACTGTGCTTGGCCCAACTTCAAACTCTTGGGCTTAAAAGAGCCTCTTGCCTCAACCTCCTAAGTAGCTGGGACTATAGGCATCCACCACAATGCCCAGCTAGATTTTTTATTTTTAGTCGAAACAGGGTCTCAAACTCCTCAGCTCAAGCAATCCACCTCCCTTGGCCTCCCAGAATACTAGGCTTACAGGTGTGAGCCACTGCACCCGGCCTCCCATTTCTTTAATATGGCAACACTTTTCTGGCTATAGATTTATTTGGTATTCATTTGGTATTACTTATATAAGATCTGCCTTACCAAAGGGGAATTCTGGGAGGTCAATGAAGCCCTGCTTGCTGCAGTCCGGAGTGTGGTAGGCCAAGGGCTGGCTCATCAGGTGAGCTTTCAGTCCTGCAGCCCCCAGGCCTTCCTTCATGAGCTTCACCGTCTGCAGACTAATGGTGGGGTCAAAGTGGCAGTTCACACCGACAATGGAAGCTCCTGCAAGTAAGAACATGATAGCTTTAGGCTCCACTCTCCGCTCTTAATCAGAAAGCTTTTACTTGGAATGATGAATTGCAAGTACAGCGCTGGGTCCTTACTCCTCATAAACCTATCTTGCTTTTGAGCAGGAATGATTACTGGCAGGAAGGAAGTGCTTTCTGTGAAAACTGCTTTGAAGAGTCTGGTATAATTGAAGTGTCATTTGTGCACACTTGGCTGTCCATCATTTTTCCAAAAAAAATCATTATTAGAAATCTTTTTTTACTCCAAAAGTTAGTAGTCAATTTTTCAATGCTTGACATTATGTTGCAAGCACAATGATTTTTTCAACACTAGCAGCTACTAGATTGCACCTGTGTTTACCATACTGCTTACTTGGGGTGTAAATAAATGTTCCTTTCACCAGGCCAGCTTGATAATTTCACTATCCTTTTTTGGAAATGTCTTTTTCTGAAGAAATTTTGAATCTAGGCTTAACAGTTTGCAAAAAAAAAAAAAGTCTCAAAAGTTCTTTGACTTCAGCTACTCAATGTGGTTAACAGCCTATCAATCACTATGACAAGTTTTCATTTACATGTGTGTCTCTGCAGACTCACAGCTATATGGTTCTTTTTTTTTTTTTTTTTTTGAGACAGAGCCTCAAGCTGTCGCCCTGGGTAGAGTGCTATGGCATCACAGCTCACAGCAACCTCCAACTCCTGGGCACAAACGAGTCTCCTGCCTCCACCTCCCAAGTAGCTGGGATTACTGGCGCCCACCACAATGCCTGGCTATTTTTTTTTTTTTTTTTTTTTTGGTTGTAGCCGTTATTGTTGTTTGGAGGGCCAGGGCTGGATTCGAACCTGCCAGCTCAGGTGTACATGGCTGGTGCCTTAGCCTCTTGAGCCACAGGCAGCGAGCCAACTCACAGCTATATGGGATTGTCTTCCTGAAACTCTCTTGTAAAATTTGTTGCTGTGAAGTTTGATTTAGGGAGACCAAAATATGTTTTAGAAACCTCATTTAAAATACGTTTTCTTTTTTTAACAGAGATAAGGTCTTGCTATGTTGCCCAGGCTAGAGTGCAGTGGTGGGATCATAGCTCACTGCAGCCTCCAAATCCTGGCCTCAAGCGATCATCTCACCTCAGCCTCCTAAAGTACAGGTATTAACAGACCTGAGCCACTGCACCGGCTAAAACTTCATTCTATTCAACAGTTTTCTTTATAGTCATTATGTTCTTAATTATATCTGGATCAAAGATGATTTATCATGGCAATCATTAGATATGATTCTGGAAGTTTCATCCTCCAGAAGATTAGAGGAGGCCGTAGGACATTATAATTCTTTAACTCCATCCTTTCACAATAGGAGGAATTCCCAAGTTGGCCTTTTTTCCTTGCAGAGAGAATGGGGACCAAAGACCCCATTCTTGGCAAAGGAAAGCACCCCCATAAAAAGAGGAAAATTAAAAAGTAAGCTGAGTGAGTCAGAACAAAGAAAAGTCAGCTATTTTACATTTAAGCTAGCAGTTACTAGCAAGCTTCCTGGCTTTTCTGAAATTCTAGCCTGTTGGGGATACAGCTTACAAACACCCCTGCTGGGTCTGTGAGCACTCTGAGGAAAAGTGGTCATAGAAGAGGCAATGGCAAGACCTAGAAAGATGCATTAACTAGGTCATTTCCTGCCTAGTAAACAGGCAAAACAGCCTGGGCAGAGATAAGGGAGTAGCTCCAGCCCTGAGATATGGGCAGAAGAGCTTATATCCCTTATTGCAGAGGAAGATCCTCAGTGGTGGTGATGGGAGGAAAATTCCTCCCTCCCACCGATTTCTCCGGGGAGATTAACACCAGTGGTATTTTATTCCACAGGGAACTAGCGGAGTTTAACACCTCCTTAGAAATCTGTGTGTGTGATCTCAAGCTGGAGGCTCTCCCAATACAAGGCTCAGATTTCAGATTTCTCGAGGTTACCCTTAAGGTTAATAATGATAACAATAGGAGCTGATATGCTCAATCAGAGAAACTGCTGGTGTCTTTGTTCCCTCCCTGAGGGTAAGATGAGGGAGGGAACCAAGACGGCCACAGTTTGGGGTCAAATGATCCTTTCACAGGGGTTGTCTAAGACCATCCTGCATATCAGATATTTACATTATGATTCATAACTGTAGCAAAATTACAGTTATGAAGTAGCAACGAAAATAATTTTATGGTTGGGGGTCACCACAACATGAGGAACTGTATTAAAGGGTTGCAGCATTAGGAAGGTTGAGAACCCCTGCTCTAGGCAAATAGACTTCAATAAAAGCAGAGTGGAGCAAACACTTGGTGCCACTGCCAGAATCCCACAAAGAGGCAATGGACCTCTGACTTCCCACCTTTAATTCTACTCTATGTCTCACGCCTCTTTTTTTACTGTACTTGCTGTGGCATCACACTGCTCACAGCAACCTCCAACTCCTGGGCTTAGGTGATTCTCTTGCCTCAGCCTCCCGAGTAGCTGGGACTACAGGTGCCCACAGCAATACCTGGCTATTTTTTCTGTTGCAGTTTGGCAGGGGCTGGGTTTGAACTCACCACCCTTGGTATATGGGGCCGGGGCCCTACCCACTGAGCCACAGGTGCTTCCCATCTTTACCCGACTTTCTAACTCTATATTTCTTTAGTTGGTCGCCACCAGTTTCCACAGGTCTTAGCGGACCCTGTTCCCAGGGTGGGACCCCGACATTTCCTTTTTTTTTTTTTGAGACAGAGTTTCCTCTCCGTCACCCTGTATAGAGTGTTGCGGTGTCATCACAGCTCACTGAAACTTTTGGGCTCAGGAGATCCTCTTGCCTCAGCCTTCTGAGTAGCTGGGATTACAGGCATCTGCCACAACAACTAGCTAATTTTTCTATTTTTAGTAAAGATAGGGGTCTTGCTCTTGCTTGAGCTGGTCTCAAATTCCTGAGCTCAAGTGATTTTCCTACCCTGGCCTCCTCAATTGCTAAGATTACAGGCATGAGCCACCTAGCCCGGAGACAGATATTGATTAAGATAGTTACTACTTTCAAAAGGCTGGAGTGTATGTGTGTGTATTTTTTAAACTTTTTTCCTTTGAGAATCAATAATGTTATTAATATTACCAAAAAGTAAATTAGTGGTTTTCTTGTTAACAAAAGTAGTATACACTGATTCACAGATGCACGTGCATTAGACTAATTGCAGTCTGACCAACATCTATCATCACCTGCTTTCACCAGGCGCACTGCACACTCCCCGGGGGAGATTCCATGCAGATCTCCCTCTGGGCCAATGCACATGGTTGCCGCCACTGGTTTGCCAGATACTTTCAAAGCTTCAACTGCCCACACAGCTTCTTCAACATGTTCAAAATACTGAAACAAATTAAGATGAGGGTACATTTAATCTTGTTTCTCCCAGAACAATTTGAAAACTTATTCTATTGCTCAATAATTTAATTGTCACTAGATACATGTTTTTCAAACTTGGAGTTGTGACCCATTAGCATTTTGTAAACAGAACAGAGTTGAATGACGATTCCTTCCTTCCTTCTTTCCTTCCTTTGTTCCTTCATTCCTTCCCTTCCCTTTCTTCTTTTGTTCCTTCTTCCTCTCTCTTCCTTCCTTTCTCTCTCTTTCTGACACAGTCTCCCTCTGTCACCTGGGTAGTGGACCATGGTGGGCATCAGCCTAGCTCACAGCAACCTCAAACTCTTGCATTCAAGCAATCCTCTTGCCTCAGCCTCCTGAGTAGCTGGGACTAGAGGTGCCCATGATAGTATCTGGCTAATTTTCTGGTTTTAGTAAAGACGGTGTCTCATTATTGCTTAAGCTGGTCTCAAATTCCTGAGCTCAAGCGATTCTCCCACCTCGACCTCCCTGAGTACTAGAATTACAGATGTGAGCCACTGCATCCAGCCAGAATGATTTCTTATTGTGAACTGCAGTCAAAAAGCTTGGAAAACACTATTGAGTCAAGTTTAGCAGAAGCCCTAAGTTGGAAAAAGATTTCAAAAACTAAATGTTCCTATTGCTAGTTGTAATTGGCACCTTGTCCCACTCAGACCTCTCAAAAGGAAGAGAAAATGCACTCAGTCTATCTGTCTCATCTTTAATGGTATCTCTGTTTACCTCTGCAATCAGGAAGTCCACGTTCTTCTTCATAAAGACCTCTAGCTGCTGCTGAAATATTTTTTTAACTTCAGTTTCACTCTTGCAGCTGAGATACGATGGGGTCTGGCTCACACCTCCGGCCACCAAAGCATCTCCCTCATCAGCCACTTGCCGGGCGATGTCACATGCAGCTTCATTGACTTTCTGGCCCTAAAACGGATGAATACATGATACATCAAAATTTGTGTGTGAAACCGAGATAAATAAAACTACTGTTCAAACAGCCATGTCTCAGTTGAGTGTCTACAACGGTGATTCTACTCCAGAAAATGACAGTTACAGAATAGTTCAATGCTTTATCAAGTTGAGCAGTTTGCAATAATAACCATAACAAATCTAATGGTAGTATCCAGAACATTATATTATTGTAAAGATGTGTGAGATGGCAAAAGATTTACCATAAAAGGATGTGATCTGGTATCTTCCAAAGCCTAAATTGCACTCAGAAGAACATCTAATAAATAGTGGCAGTGGTGATGATCTGCTTTTATGATAAAGATTAAAATTCTATTTATTTATTTCTTCTTTTCAAGACAGAGTCTCATTCTGTCACCCTGGGTAGAGTGCTATGACATCATAGCTCACAGCAACCTCAAGCTCCTGGGATCCTCTTGCCTCAGCCTCCTCAGCTGTCTGAGTACAGGTGCCCGCCACAACACCTGGCTAGTTTTTCTGTTTTAGTAGGGAAAGGGTCTCACTGTTCCTCAGGCTGGTCTCGAACTCCTGACCTCAAGCCTCCCAGAGTGCTTCAGGCAAGCCTCCCTGAAGACCTACCTCAGCCTCCCAGAGTGCTAGGATTACAGGCTCATGGGAGCCACTGTGCCCGGCCTTAAAATTCTGTTTAAACACAAAATTCCTGAGTTCTTGTTTTTATGCATTTTCTCAGCTAACAGATAAATGCATAACTAACAAGTTCTTTTCTAATTACTTAGATATTAAAAGTTGATTGTAATCCTTGAAAAATAAACACCCCCCAAACGGCCCCCAAACCTAGCATTATAGACTCATGGAATTTTAGAACTTCCTATTCATTTTAGAAATGAAGAAATCTCAGCCCCAATGGGGCAAATGGTTTGTCCAGAATCACAAAGTAGATCGTGGCTGAGTCAGGCCCTATTCCAGGTTTCCTGACTCTGTGCCTGTAATCTTTGTCCTGAGTTAGGGCACATTAAGAAAAGAATTAGTAAGAAGGTGCACTTTCCTTGGCGATTTAGTCAAAAGATGAGGAGAACAATTAATTATTAAACACCTCTTCTTTCATCTGCTCCACTAAATGCCTTTCTGCTGACTTGGGAGACTCCAGCTAAAACCTAAGGCTATTATTCCCATGTCTCCCAGTCTTAGACTATTAGAAATAGAACAAAATTCTGAAGAGGCTCAACTGTTTTTTGCTGTGAGAGATATGGGGATGAAATGTGTCTACAATGACCTCTCAAGAGTCCCACGGACAGTTTTACTCACAGATATCTTCTCTAAAACGTAGTTGCCCCTGTTCTCCAGCTTGTCTTCACTTGCGTAGAAGGTGAACGTCTGCATGACATTTGATCCAGCTCTCAGGAACTCCCGATGCAGCTGGCGAACTGGGAGATTGAATGGGGGAGAGATAATAATTTCTATCAGGGTATTAACCCATGATGTTTTTGAATGGCTCTCAGATATACAAACATGAAAATAATTGCTTAAACATCTGTTTGCTTGATGTTCACACATCTTGGGGGTTCTTGGGAGGTAGCTCTGAAGACGCCTGGCAACTCTGCAAACCTGGTCTGGCTGTGTGGACAGGTTCTCAGGGGCTGCTCACACTCCCGTATTTGTTCATCTTGTTCATTGTTTGACTTTGTTCACCATTCATTGACTATTTGTGGAACATCCTCGTAAACACAAAGATGAACAACCCATTGTCCTATTCTTGGAGAATTTCACAATCTGTCCAGAAATAACTGACTACAGCACTGTGTGGTGGGGTACGCAGGGAAAAGAGAGAATTTCTACCAAGGGCATGGCACAAAGGCGTGAGGGAGGTCCCACAGAGGAGGAATCACTTGAACTGCATTTTGAAGAATTCAGCATTGTTGCAGGCAGAGAAGGTGAGGAAGGAATTCTCCACAGAGGGAGCAGCGTAGCAAAGATAAGGCAGGAGCAGGCTTGGCATTTGGAGGAGTGACAAGTAGTCTGCATGGCTGAAGGTGAAGTTTGGGGGAAATAATTTTTAAGAATGGAGTGATTCCAGTGGTTTTTGAAAGATAATTCTTTTTTTTTTACATTTGTTAGATAAAGTCCCTCTTATAATTATGTCTGAAAGATAATTCTTGTAACAAAGTCGAATAAGAATTGGAGCAAGGTTCCCAAACACAGGTCTGTGGATAAATGCCAAGTGGCAAAGTGTCACCAGCTGGAGGAAGTATGGTGGGAAGTTTTTCTTCCATGTAGCTAAATGTATTCAGTTAAAAAGATTATCTTTTGCTCTAAAACAGGACTAAATTTAGCTTGAGAAATGCTAAACAAACAGATAAATAAAAATAAAATAAAGTGGTAGTCCTAAGTTTTGGTTGCCCATGAGATCTTCTGCAAGTTTTTTAAAAATTGTAGAATCGAGGGCCAAACCCATATTCTAATTTAGTAATTTGATTTGAGAGTGACATTTTGGCATTTTAAAAAAAAGGTTCCCCAACTGATGCTTGTTTTCAGCCTTGTTGAAAACTGCTATTCTACAATAGTAGAAAAACACTCATTTTATAAAATGATAGATCAGAAGGTATTTGTTTTGTCAGGGGGATTAACTAGGCAAAATAAGAAACTGGCATTCCTATACGAAGCCCTAAATTTTATTTTGAAATTTCAGAGGCCTATGAAATCCAAAGGTTTGGAGAAGTGACTATATCAGAGGCTAGAAAATTACTAGGACATTGGAGTTCTCAGCCCTTCACGGATTAAGACTGGAGATGAGTTTGTATCCCTAGAATGTAAAAACCTTGGTTTTTGTTTTTAAATGGACAAATAAGTGGGGCAAAACAAAACTTTTAAATGTTAGAAAATGGGTCTCTAAGTTTGAACGTAAACCTTTTCCATGATTTTTAAAATCATGGAAACTTTAGTTCTCAACAGGACCTTAAAAGCACACCTAAATGAGTGAGTTTCATACTTGTTTTAATTACTAAGGAAACCAATTAAAAATATCTTATAGGGAGTCCTGTATGTCAGATCAACCCAGAGTTGCTGTGGTTGGTTGGAGGGGGGGGAAGCCGATAGACTAGTTTCGTAGGCACTAGGATGAAAGGGTTTATAGCCAGGAAGTCTACCCATGTGGCCCTTGGATAGATTTTCAGAGATTCCACGAAAAAACCCTAGTCACCCTGGCTAGAGTGTAGTGGTGTCATCATAGCACACTGCAACCTTAAACTCCTTGGCTCAAGTGATCTTCCTGCATCAGCCTCCCAAGTAGCTGAGACTGCAGGTGCACATCATCATGCTCGGCTAAGTTTTCAATTTTTTGTAGAGATGGGGTCGTACTCTTCCTCAGGCTGTTCTAGAACTGCTGGGCTCAAATGATATTCCCACCTCAGCCTCCTGGAGTGCTGAGATTACATGGGTAAGCCACCATGCCCAGTTAACTTCTAGTCTTAATTTAGTTATACCCTTGTGTTTCTGAAAAACTGCTGTCCTTCTCTAAGTATGACCCATCTAAGAATCAGCTGGGGGGAATTACTCTAACTGCAGGTTCCCCAAACATCTCCAGACCCTGGAACCTGAATTCATAGATTCAGTGCTGCTTCCACTGAGTGCATGACCTTGGTGAGCTCTGAGAAGATCTTGAGTGTGCCTCAAAAATTTTTAAAGATCATTCAATTATTTTCAAAAGAAGTTCAAAGCACAGTAAGCATATTCCTTTTTTTTTTCTTTACTCTTTTGTGGATCAACATAATTCAATTGTGCGGTGGAAGTTTAACTGTAGGTTCAAGTGTGCCATGAGATAAAAAAGGTTGAAAGACACTGCTCTACCCAATAATAGGATGTGACTGGTTCCTGTGACATAATAACACCACTTCTATTAATTACCTTCATTTTATAGCCTTTAACTCTTCATTGTATTAGTTTTATTTTAACACCGCAGAGGCTAAATGCATGTTATTACATGGTTATCTATGAGCAGAGCATAGTTAGGGATTAGCCTTATAAATGTAGCTTAAGAAATGCAAGTTTTTGAAATTCCACAGCAAACTCTAAAAGGTCAAATAAAATTCTGCAGTATATCTTTGGTACAATAATACGTTTGCAGCAAAACCATTTGGGAGCAAAATATCACCTGAGGTATTTATAATTTTATCTTAATTAGAATAGTTATATATATATATATATTTTTTTTTTTTTTTTTTTTGAGACAGAACCTCAAGCTGTCCCCCTGGGTAGAATGCTATGGCATCACAGCTCACAGCAACCTCCAACTCCTGGGCTCAAGTGAGTCTCCTGCCTCAGCCTCCCAAGTAACTGGAACCATATATTCTGATGCAAAAAAAGTGTTAATGTGTTTGATAAGGGAGGCTACTTCAGGGTCCAATTAGAGTGTTACGCAATAGACACACACACAGCACAATCACTGTATTAACTTTGCAAAAGCCTCAAACTTCTAGATTCCAAAACACATTTAGCCCCCAAACTGGCTTGAATAAAGGAATATAGGCCTATAATATAACCTTCTCCTGGCTGCCACTAGCACTAAAATGTCAGTCCTAGGCAATGTTTTAAGTGAAGTCTGGCTTTCAAGAAAATTCTTCAGGGTTGTATCAGTACTAGCTACTGCTCAAAAAAAGTGTTTTACGTAGTTATCTGAACAAGGTCACTGCCACATTTCCTCTTACCTTCTTAACTTGGGCCAATAGCTAAGATAGCAAACTTGGAGCTGTCTAAATTTAGCTCAAATTCCCTCATCTCCCTGTCCAAGGGTTACCCTCTAAAACAAATCCATAAAATAATTAGACTGGCCTTCCTCACCTTTCTCTTTCCCAGGTCATTAAGCTCTTCTAAAATTCTTCCTTAAATTATATAACATTCCGGCCAATCAGTCTCCCCTGGCTCAGGCCCGCTTTGAAGTTGGAATCCCTTCATTCACTCAATCTACACGTGCCAGGCTGGCCTTAATTGTTCTGGGCACTGGAGATGCATCAGTGAATGAGTGTAAAATTGCCAGTAGATAAATAATAACAATAATAAAAAACGTAGAAAACTCCGATAGAGTTATGAAGAAGATAAAACAGAATAATAAAGACGCTGTGAAGACCATTAAGAGTGACCATGGGGCTACTTTAGAGGAGGCAACTAGATAAACAGCCGAAGGTTAGAGCGAGGGCCTCACAGACAGAAGCCTCAGTTCCTGCAAAGGTCTAAGGGGAAGGGGAACATGAGCTTAAAGTAACCAACAGCACACAAAGGAGGTGGTAGTTGGTTATACCTTGTGCCACCTGGATCTATACCTCGGTGAGTCCTTCCTCCAGCTGCTAGAAGTGTCGGGTGCTGAGACACTCCAGAAAGTGAAGCCAAAGGGAGCTCCCTTGCCCAAGTCTAGCCCCACCTTGGGGGAGGGCTAAGAGTTTGCCTCCAGTGCTAGATCTACTGGCAGGGGGAGGACACAAAGATCCCACCACCTTCCCTCCTTCAGGGCAGCTCTGAATGGGCTTGTCCTAACCCGGAACTCCTGGAAGGATCAACTGAGGCTTCTGCTACAATTAAATCATGGTTTAATTCCCGCCTCTGCCCAGTCCTGTTTCTCTCATTCCCTTATAGGAATTGTTTCTTTCTTTCTTTCCTTATTTATTTATTTTTCAGAGGCAAGGCAAGGTCTCACTCTGTCATCCAGGCTGGAGTGGAGTATCCCCATTATAGCTCACTGCAACCTTGAACACCTGGTCTCAAGTGATCCTTCTGCCTCAGCCTCCTGAGTAGCTGGGACTACAGGCGTGCCACCATGCTGAGCTAATTTTTAAAATTTTTTTGTAGAAATGAAGTCTTACTATGTTGTCCAGGCTGGTCTCAAACTCCCAGCCTCAAGCAATCCTCCCACCTTGGCCTCCCAAAATGCTGGGTTATAGATGTGAGCTGCCACATCTAGCTGGGATTGTTTCTTCAAAGCACTTCGTAGGCTGGGCACAGTGGTTCACACTTGTAAATCCTAGCACTCTTGAAGTGCTTGGGAGGAGGCTGCTTGAGCTCATGAGTTTGAGACTAGCCCGAGAGTGAGACCCCCATCTCTACTAAAAATAGAAAAATCAGCCAGTCATTGTGGCAGGTGCCTATAGTCCCAGCAGTGAGGGAGGCTAGGCAGGAGGATCACTTGAGCCTAGGAGTTTGACATTAGTGTGAGCTGGGCTGATATCACTGCACTCCAACCTGGAGCAACAGAGTGAGACTCTATCTAAAAAAACAAAAGCACTTCCTAATACATCCTAATCCTGCACACAAATCTCCACTTGAGAATTTGTTTCCTTGGTGATCTGACCTGCTATAGTCGGGGCCAGGACTAGCTTAGGAAATAATTCTGAAAGCATCATTTTGGAGCTAGAATCCTTCTAGCCAGCTGGTAATGAGCACCCACCCACTACATGTGGTAGCAGGAGAGTACTAGCCCCTCAAATGCTCTAGGGGTATGCTCTGTTAAATGCTCTGTTAAAAGCGTTCTCCTCTGGTGAACTGAGGTGGGGATGGGCTGCCAGGGAATGCACCAGCACCTGTAGCATCTCAGATGTTTGAGAGGTTCAGGGGAAGTAGCAAATACAAGGCCTTTGGAATGAGAGGGCTATTGTGGGGCACCATCAATGCGCCCGAGAAAGACAATGCAAGCCAAGGTTAAGGGTGAATTATCCCCAACTTCAGGCAAAGTAGGAAAGTCTGGGATCTCCTGAGTGGCACTAAAGAGATTCATGCCCTGCAGCTAAAGAGCAGAAATTGCTGAGGATTTTGGCCTAGGACTAAGTTATACGGTAGCAGAGCTCCCAACCAGACAAGCCTGCTATGCCACAGTCAGGGCCCCGATTAGGAAGAGCTGGGATGCTGAGGCTGGGGTTGAAGACATGTAGGTGGATTCACCCAAGAACCTTGAAAACCCAGGTCCCCCTGCACTCTCTGGCCTAGTCCTCCTTTTTAGAGATTAATGAGGAGGACTTTGCTCTGGAATATGGTGTTTATCCCCTCAAGCTCTATCCCACCTCCCTTCCTGGCCATAAAAAGATTTGTAGTCAAAAAAGTAAAGTGAGAATAAAGTAGGAGAGTGCAGGTGCAAAACAGGTAGATAACTGAATTTAAACAGGGCTGGGCCAGAATACTGTGAATTGGACTAGCTGGTAAATACATAAGGCAGGGAGAGCTTATCTGCAAGCCGGCAATTATGGTGTGGCCCTGTGGAATCTAAAGGGGGTGAGGAGGGCAGGCCAGACACATGGGGGAGAATGGGTCACAGACACCAAGCTGGCCTGGACAAGCCACCGAGGGTCTAGGAGGTGGAGGAGTGAGACTACTAGAGAAGTGTGTGAAAAGGTAGGACGTGGTCTGAGAGGGGGAAGCTCTGCTGATGGCAAAGTCTGGGAGTGGTTGCTGAGGTGGGGGTGGAAGAAAAGTTCCCTGGAGATGAGGGGATCAAGGCACTCCCAGGCAAAGCGCTCCAGCCAGATGGACCACGTGTGTGGAGGTCCCAGTCACTTAGATGGGGAGAGAGGGAGGAGCCGAGAAGTAAGCAGTGAGCTAGGTTCAGACTCACTTAGCGTGAAAGGCAGAAACAAGGACGGCCACTGTGCTTATCTAACAAGTGAATCCACACTCACATACCTAGCACAATGCCCAGCATGCAAGAACACGCATTTGGAAAATGTTCTATGAACTTACCTGTTCGATGATATACTCCTAGACTTGGGTCAACATAGTGCCCTTTATGAGAACGCAGAATAGAGCTCTGCACCAACCTGCTTCTGGGTGCTCCACAGCAGCTTCTGGGGTCCAGGGACCTGCTTTTACATAGCCCCTCTTCTCCAGTGCAAAGACAAACCCTCCATCTCCAATCACAACCTCTCCGGCATTTAAACGTTCTAGGATGCCCTAAGATTACAGATGGGGTTAGGGGAGAAATTAGTTGAGTTTTAAAGATAATTTTCAATTTTTATTGCTTTTGCTAACAGTCTTGAGAGGTATAATTACTTTAGAATTTTCAGAAAAGAATATATACACATATATTTTTTAATACCTAAATTTATGGCTACCCTATAAGGTAAACCACCAGAATGTTCACATAATGAAAATTTGTATATTCATGTTTAATGTATGTGTCCTGATTTCTCACGACCTTCTTCAAACTTCATCTTAACTCTCCCTCACTGCTCCTTTCCCATTTGGACAGTCAATGCTGAGAAAGAGGAAAATCACATTTTGACCTCAGCACAGCGGGAGAGGTGTGCCGTATGCTCCCTAATTCCCCTTTCAGATCACAAAATTCTCCAGCTGGAAAGTCCAACAAGCAACTCCAAAAATACTGTATAGTAATAGAATGGCTCACATGTAATTTAAAAATCCAAATATTTGTCATGATTGCAATGTTTCTAAATGCTACATCTTAACACTACAACTTTGCTAGCTATGACCAGATTAACAACAACAGAAGTGTGTGTGTGTGTGTGTGTGTGTCTGCCAGTACAGTTACATCAAAAACATGAGAATGGGCCACACACATGAGATCTGACTGTCTACTAACTTTCCATTCAGGTGAAATCATTCATGACATGTTGGCAGTTAGCAGCTCTCATAATTTGTGTGTTTTCCAAATTTTTGTACCACAACATTTTAAAACACAGCACAGCTAAGAGTCTGATATTCCGTGGTGGGTGGGTGGTGGTGACTCAGTGACCATGCTGTTCATCAATTTGTTGAGCAATTTCATCTAGAAATACGATCTCCTAGATTCTATTGCATGTTTTATTACCTGGGCTTGAGGATTTTCTGTCCCTAATTAAACAGATTTTTTTAAAAAAGCGAAATATGCTACAAAAAGGTTTTTTGTGTGTGTGTAAAAATATTACTTAACAGTATGCATAGCAGCCCGTTTTTTAAAAATACTTATTTGCCTGGATAGCAAACTAGCAGACTATACCTTACAATTTAGCAGGCACTGTTCTTTCTGCTTTCCCTAGTTGTTTATAATGAACATGTGTTAGCTTTGTTACGTATATTTGAATTTTAAACTCACATGTGTAGGCATGTTACTGTTTTAACAGGGACATATGCATTAAAACAAGGTACTGAGGAAACTTTTTTAAATCTTATGACCATCATTCCTGAGATAATCCTTTAAAGATGACTCTTTAAAATTTTAAATTTTCAGAGTATGAGTTTGGGGAATGGGCTAGAATCCATGGCGATGTATAACTCCTCCTCCCCCATGAAATCTGTAGGAATCATGCTTTCCCTTCGACAGGGACTATTCAGAACGGCAGGAATTCTCAACTTACTTTAACTGGCGACAGCTCATAATTGTTCACTGTCTCGAAATCCTCACACTATCAATACGTACCGGTTAATGCTGCCTGGCATTTGAAACATTTAACTTAATTAACCTTTTCTCTCATGTGGAGGTCTTTTTGATTTGGGTGGTCACCGCGGGTGGTTTCCTGGGACAGGAAGGGTAGACCCTGAGGATGAGAAGTAGACCTGCTCTCGGGGTCCTTCCAGCCAGGAGTTACAGAGCGCTTGGCCCCCTGGCCTCCCTATCACTTCCTTATCACTTCCCAAGGGCCGGTGTATTGGTACCAGACGATCGAGCATATTCCCTTCTCTCTCTCCCCACCCATCCCACCACCCTCACCGGCAGCCAGTCCAACCATCCACCCATTTCCCGATCTAGAGAAGGGCGGGTGATCTGGACAGACACTCGTCCCAGAGAGCTACTGGCAAAACTCAAGAGCTGGAATTAGTGGATTGGGGGGGAGGGGGTTAAATCTTAAAAGCCCTTCCTCAGTATCTTGCAGCCACTCTGGCCATTTTTTCTTAAACCGTGTTTTTGAGGCTCGCGTGGTGCATTTTTCTGTGATTACAGAACCAAATTGCAGGTGAAAACCTACCATCGGTCAACCAACGTTTGCAGCGGACGGGCGCCGCGAGACCCTGGCAGGGAGGCGGCCCCGAGACCCAGCAGCGCGGGTCCAGGCGCGGGCGGGAACGGTCGGAGCAGGCGCGCGCTCCTCCCTCCCCGCCGCGCGGGCGGCAGAGGGGGCTCGCGGCAGCCGCGCGGCAGACACCGGGCAGCCGGCGCGCG